ACTGTGGCTAGACGAGATTGTGAGTTTTATGTTATAAATGAAACCTAGGGACCATTTAGTACTTGTTACACTTGAGGCGAAAAAAAGAAACCCTCCAAAGAGAGAAGTTAAGGAAACAAAGGTCGAGTTGCACAACAAATTCTGCAGAAAATGATTCTATGAGTCTTTCAGGGTGGGAGGTATGCAGTGCAGGATACTTTCTCTTGCCATCTGAAATCCTCACTTGACTCTTACTGCCCTTGTCATTAGGCATCTCTATAACCTTACTTTGTTACAGACCAATAGACATGTGTGTGTCCATACATTTTCTGAAATATCTTTTTATATATTCTATACATTTATAGTATACAATATCTACTTGTGGAGTATCATCTAGTGCATATTTGCTGGATAATGGCTATTTTTTTCTCTCTTTCTCACTATCTGGTCTCTCTCTCTCTCTCTCTCTCTCTCTCTCCCTCTCACCTCTCTGTCTTCTGTCTTTCTCTTTGCTGATGATTAAATTCAAGACTTTCTATGCATGGTAGACTTATGTGATATTCACTGGACTTAAACCTCAACATAAACATACATACCTCTGTCAGAAGACCACTGTGTGTGTGTGCATGTGTGTATGTGTGTGTGTGCTTCTGTTTATGTGTATATGCATGTGTGTGCATTCATATGAAGGTCAGAGAAAACCCCTAGTTTGTTTTCTAGGGTGCTGTATATTATTTTTCTTGAGAGAAGGGCTCTACTGGTACTCTTCAAAGCTGGTCAGTGAGTCACAGAGATCCCTCTAACTCTGCCTTTCCAGAGCCAGGGTCACAATCACTTGCTACCATGCCTGCATATTTTTTAAACATGATTTCTGGAGATGAAACTCAGATATATATGTTTGAAGGGCACTCTTGCTTAAAGGCCTCTCAGACTGTGCATCTGAATGCAACAAAATTTCAGTCTGTGGGTAAACTTCCAAGGTGGCAGGAATCCAGGAGTGTAGGTAGCACAGAGAACTTTGCCCTGGAAGGAAGATATAACAACATCTAGCATTCTGCAGTCTGATCTGAATCTTTTTCTGATCCTGGTTCACTGGATACCGGGATCCTTGATACTAGGTCTGGGATACAGAAGTCAATCTGCAGGACTGGGTTCAGTGTTCTCAATCCCACATAGGCGTAAATCACATACAACAGAGAGGCAGATACAAAGGCCAAACAAGTCACTGGCTACAGATTCTAGGCTATCTACTTCCTCAATCCCTTTAGATGCTGGGACTTACTTCTAGTCAGGGAAAGTTGACCCATTAGCCATGTATCCTTCAGAGCACAAGCTCCCAGCTGCTACAACTTTTTAATGAGTCCATATCTAATCCTTCACTTCATTTCCTCTCAATTTTTAAACAATATTTTGCACATTTTATAGAGTTTATTTTGATTGTTCTCACCCATTCCCCAGCTCCTTCTATATCTTGCCTTTCCTATTCAATCAATTTTGTGTCCTCTTCTCTTTGTAAATCCATGTTCATCTTAATTCCATGCAAAGCCACATATCCAAGAGGATATAGTCAGTACAGGTTGTTTCCTGGATTCCACCCACGAAGATATGGTAGAAGGATGTTACCATATTTCATGGCTTGTGATAGTTCTTGGTTTTGTCCTCAAGATAAAGCTTGGCTGCTCCATTATGAAAGACTTGTAACAACGCAATGGATTTTGTTTACAGTGTTGTTGAGTCATACATAGCCACTGTCCCTCAGATTCTTCCCTTGGATTTAATGTTTATGAGAAGTAAGAAATTGTACTGTGGCTAAAGCCAAATGTTTTCACCAGAAATCTACTTGCTTTGCTCATCATCATCATGGTTTGTTGAAGTCCATCCACAGGTCAAGGCATTTCTTATAAAATATCATGGAGATCACACTCTTTATGAAAAGGGGGAAATAGAGGGAAGATTCAAAGAGAGAAGCATTGGGAAAAAGAAGTTTAATTATATAAGAAATCTTGAGTTAATCTTCTGGAGTGAACAACAAAGAAACATTGAAAATAGCAGATAATTAGAAATAAGTCAATGTTTTTAATATGTACTTCAAACTAAAAATTCTTATTACTACATGATAAGCTTTTAAAGCACACATCAGATGCCAACAGTACTGACAAAATGAAGAGTTAAGTAGTCATATTTAGAAATGGTTCTTTGGGAATCCTGTTTCATGAGTCTGTATCCATATGATTAGCTTCAAGTCTATAAGAATTAGGAACATCATGTAGTATATTTTTCTACAATATACCTGTAACTCAGACAGCTGATCAAAGAGCTCTTGAACTAGTAGATTTTATCAGCCACTGTATGCAGTCCATGACTTAGCATTGAAGAAATCTGAAATTTTCTCGATAAAATTTACATGTGTGTTAAAATTACACAAACTATATGTGGTTTTGAGACTCACTTAGCACCAGGGAAAAAAATGTCTGGTGCTGAAATAAAAGTATTTTTATAGGGTAGATTATCCATGCATGGACTTTTCTTTATCTTCAAAATTTCGTCAGTGCCCAAAACATTAGAAGTTAGATTTAAAATCGATTTCAGCTCATGAATTTTGGAAGGTCAGATACATTCAGAATTCAGACTTGTAACCGCAAAAGCACATACATAAAGACATACGCGTGTACACACACACACCACCACCACCACCTCTACCATTTAAAAAATATATAAAATATGAAGATAGCTTTTAGGCTCAATGATTGCTGGTATTTGCCTTTATGAACTGGAATTCAGATAATGTGGAAGACACTATTGGTCAGTGGCATTACATCTGCCTCTCACTTTCTCTGAGAGGCCCTCTCTGAGCTATGACACGGAAGTGGTGACTTAAGCAATAGAAAGGAAGCAGTCATCCTTGTATTAGGCAAAGCACTTCAACAGTGGGATTAGTGATATCAAAAACTTGACACATTCAGAGTTAGAACAAATCATTAAAGTTGCTACAGCCAAGTGAAGGAAGGCAGGAAGGGGCAGGACTCCCATTGCACACTAGAGGGCTGAACTTCACTATAAATATAATCAGAGCATCTATGGATGTGCTGGACAGAAAAATAGTGGTTATGAGGGTTATATTCTGATGTAAATGCTGCTTATGGAGAATCAGGCAGTAAGGAATCATGGGAGCAAGAACACCAATCAGGACACTGTTACTTGGTTAGGAAACAATAATGACGTTACCACTAAATTAGGGCGGTAAGAAGCAAGCTCATTAATTAAGCAATTGAAAGTTGCTTTATCAATTTAAAATATGCACAAAACAATTCCAATTTACTTAAAGAATTGGGTTCTATATTTTTCAGCATGCATGTATCTGACTATACACACATCCGTAAGTAGAAGTGCATTCATTCTCATATGATAGACTAAGCTAGCCTGAGTAACTTGCATCATAGGTCTTGTGGATAGAAGTCTAGAATAAAGACAAAACAGATTTGGTGTCTATTTAGAGGAACTGTCTCTACGACCATATCATATTTGGTTCCTTGTTGCTGGATCCCCTCATGGAAGAGACAGCAGGGAGCTTCTTCAAGCATTGTTTTTATTATTTTTTTTATTTTTTGAGATTAGTACAATTACATCATTTCCCTTTATTTTTCCACTCTCCTAAGCTTCCCATGTGCCGCTACTTTATCTCTTTCACGGCCTCTTATTTTCAGTAATTGTTGTTACATACATATATGTATATGAATATACTTATATATTCCAAAACACATAATTACAACTTGATTAGCCTTTATAATATTACTTGGATGTAGGTTTTGAAGGTTGGCCATTTGGAACAAGATAACCTCTCCATATCCATGTGCTCTTCTCCAGCTGCTGCTCCTTAGCTGCTTGTAATTCTTTGTGTAGAACTGAGGACTCATGGACTTTCCCCAATTCATGTTAGCATGTTTGTTATTGTTGTTCTTATTCAACTTATGTGCATGCTGCCTTGTTAGTGAGGCATTTGCAAGCAACTGGTCCTACTCAGCTATGATAGCTATTAACCACAACAATGACCGGCATGGTGCAACAACTTTACGGTGCGACAGTGGCAAGCATGTCATGATGCTTACCGTCAGTGCTCTAATTGATTTTAAGACTGACTCATCAGGAAACAAATCAAACTTAGTACTGGAAACCAAATATCTTTAAATGTCATTCTTCCATACATTGTGGGCTTTGTCTTCACACTCTGATCATCCTCTGGAAATCTTACCTCTAACTATCAAAATATTCAAATAGATTTGGAAAGGATTTCAGTACATAAATTTTAGAGGGAGACATACATTCAGAATTCAGGCCCTTAAAAGCAAGAACACAAACACACACCCAACACCCAGAATCATTCACAGAAAGAATATGAGCACTGCCTGAATACACAGCGGGACTAGAATTTCTGCTTTGAGATGTCAAAAATCCACTGTAGTGAAATTTTTAAAGAAAGATCTTATCTTTGGTAGACTATGCTGTAGTTTTGCATGAGATGATAAATTCTCAGATTTGATTCCTCAGATAATAAGACAGAGGGAGAAGGGGCTGAGTTTAGAAACATAGTTAAGGTCATACTGACCATTGATTTTCTAAATCTTTATATGTATAGTTTTAAGATGGATACTGAGATACTAAGATGTGTTTTTCATTCCAGATGTTTTGGGAACTGTTCAGTGTGATCTGTGATCACAAAAAAGAGAAAATGTGTTTGCACGTAGTATGTGTAAATGTGTGTGTTACAGAGAGAGATGGAGGGGAAAGAAACAGAGAGAGAAAGAGAGAGGGAGAAGGTTTTGAGCACTTCTTTTGCACACAGATGAAAACAAAAAATATGAGTTATTTAAAGGCAGAAAATACAGTTCTGAGGCACGAGCCTGTTTGTATAAAGAGTTAACTTCCTAGTCTGTGACTGACTGTGGCTGAGAAAAATTATCAAAAGTCAAGAACTGTGTCACATTTAATGCTTTTATTCTAAAAGTATCTTTTGATTTCCCATGTTCACCAGTTCAACTGTGTTCTCGTCTACTGTCTCTGATCACCTTAAAAAGAAATCTTGCTTTTTGAGTGGATACACTATGCTGATATAATATGTGGCACAGCCAAGCATTGTTAAGCAAATGTGCACTCTGTGTGCCTTCTTTCCTACTTAAGGCCAGCATAAACTGAGATTCACTTACCTAATGTACGAAGAAAATCCTAGATTGTACAATGCATGAATTCTAGAGACTTATGACCCCTGACATTTATTTCAGTTTTCTTCTTCTTCAAATTTCTCGCCACTTTCACAGGTCCATTCATGACAGCCTCAATTGATTTACCAAGTAGGACCACTTCCATGATGGATTAATGAGCACTCTGTGAAAAAACACCCTGTATGTGTTCAATCATAGGGCATGTCTCTCCGAGGCATCCTCTCTTCTATAACCCAACTAAAAATATTTCTTACTATCAGAAAAATTGCTCCCAACTTCTCATCACATTTTATGCCTCATTTAGAGAGATACCCCCAGTGACCCCTGCCCTCAGTGAGCACGTTTAATCACATTCACTTGAAATATTGCTGTAGCTATGCCTTTCATTTTCAATGAGGTCAGGAAATTAAACAAACTAAAATTTAGTCCCCTGTGGTAGAACGGTTTAGAGCTGTAATTCTTCTGTACCGCCTACAACTGACATGGCCTTGGTAATGCCTAGGTGTATTCATATCTACCATGAATATTATGGGACCTTTTTGGCTGGATCACATGGTACAAGCATGCAAAGCAGTTATAAGTAAATAATGCATAATGCAGGTAGCTAATACGTATTAATGACAGCCACCAGGATGGCTTTCGTTCAACCACTTCATAGTGTCACATGTAAGCTGGCCATAGGCGTCAATTCATGAATACATAAAGTTTTAATATGAATATAACCAAGAGGTATGTTATTACCTTACAAATTTGTTGGTATTTCTCATAATCAGCCAGACCATGAGACTTATTCTCAAGCTGTGCATTTACTATCAAGGTCCTGTGTTGCAAGCATTGCTAGAACTGAGTCTCAACAGTAAACAACACTTGAGATAGTGGAAAAAGCTGTAAGGAATCATGTTATTATTTTTTTAATTATACACATATCATTGTATACTTATATACGCATATATGTGTACTTGTGTATGTGTATACATATAAGTATTTATGTATATATTATATTAAATTAAATTATGCCACTTGAAGTTACAGTGCTCCCCCTAAGAGTCATAGTTTATTTAACAGAAGCCCTACTTCCAGAAAAGAGAAGCCTTCTTTTCAGTTGTCATTCAGGGGATTCAAAGAGGATCCCAAAACAATATAGGCTATTGATATTGCTCCTGGCTGTTTCCCAGAAATTGAGGGTAAGGCCCTCTTAGTGAAGACATCATGAACTTCAGACACAGGACTTAGAAGATCTGAGTTGTATCTGACCTTCAAGCCTCCTTCATGAGAACTGTCATAGCACCTGAAGAAGTTACACAAGCTACCAAGGGAGAAAAGCAGTCAATAACATTACCCAGCTTGAATGCCTAAAAAAGCAACACTGATCAAAATGGCAGGACATCCAAAAAGGAACAATAGTTGCACTTGTAGCTCATGGGTGAGCAACAGCATCTTATTGGACATAAGTTCATTCTATTGGATAAAGTTCATGCCTGGTACTTTAACCAAACCAATTTGCCAAGGTCGGTGAGGCCATGGATCTTAAAGAAGGAACAATTATTGCCACTTTACTAAACAAACACACTTCTTCAAAAGGAAAAGCCCCAAACAAACCCGCTAAAAACAAAACCCACCAAAAACAATGGAACCTTAGGAGGAGTAGAGTTTATGGTTTTTACTGCTTTGATCAATGCATTGGTGAGTGTTGGAGAACCATTTTTGTGTGTGTGTTAGAGACTATTTTATTATTAAGCAACTGATCATAGGACATATGAAATCTAATGTTAAAATTGAGATTAAGGATTACCTTATATAATTCAAAGAGGGAAGAACACGTGACAAAGAACAAATAGACCTGTGTGCGCTTTCTTGTACTTTCTATTAGCCTTTGAAACTTCCTGTTCTAGCCTGAGGTAGTTACATAAGTCTAGGAACTTGAAAATAGTTCTGTCAGAAGACGTCTCTGAAAGGTTCATGTATCAGCCATCACTGAACCTTCCACATTCCTGCTTACTGTTCTTATCTTCCTGTGAATAAAGAATGTCAATAATTGCAGCAAAATCCCCAATAACATGAACATCATAATGCAAAGTACAACATGTAGAGTATAAGCCATGTAGAGAGAGAAGGCCATGCCTCCATGTCCATAAGAGTTATTGTGACCTTAAGAAGCCTCAGGCTACCTAGAACCACCTAGAGCAGTGGTTCATAGAATCATTTAGGTCATCGGGTCTAACAACCATGAATCCATGAAGAAGAGCAACATTTCTGTTTTCACTTTTGGTATCTGAGTTACACCCTCAGCCATTTACCCAGAGGGCTCATGGTTCACTGCCTTGGCACTAGCTAGAAAAACAGAGAAATTGGGAATTCTTGTGCCTGCTCCTAGGCCCCTTCAACCTATGACTATACATGCTTTTTCCTCAATGAGTTTGACAGATAAAATTATGAGAGATCATTTAGAAAACAAGAGGAGGAAGGAAAATTACAAACAAAAAAGTGGAAGTTCAGATAATAACAAAGGAAGCAAGTGAAACAGATTTTCCACATATGCAATTCATAGGAAACACTAAAGAGGAGTTATGTGCCCACTGAAAGTAAAGCCAGCAAGAACTCAGAGCTAAGAAATGTTTCAACGGACTTTGTTTCTCCTTTTCTGTAGAGCTGAATGCTTTTTGTTTCATTCCCGACAACATGAAGCTGAAAAGTGTTTATGGATATAAACTGTTCTTTTGCCCTGTTTGTGTCTCGCTACCGGGTGCCTGTGTGCATGGTAGTGGTGGAGGGATGTTTTCTGTCAGAGTTTGACAGGAACTGTAAGTACAAATTTCCAGGATCTTACGAATTCTTGGTTGTATGTGGGTTTGTGACTGAGTGCAGTGCTCGAAAAGGCCAGAAAAGGGCATCACACCTCTTATAGCTAAAGTTGCAAGTCGTTGTGATCACCTGAAACAGGAACCAGGAACTCAACTAGGATTCACTGGAAGAGCAGATCACTGGCTTCTAAGTGGAACCCTCTCGCGAAGCTGTGCTGCCAGGTTCTTGTTTATACCTTGTGACACCACAATGAAATTTGGAATTCAAGTTCTGAAATGTAGAATGGTTGGACCACTTACTATGTTTCTGCCTCTTGAAGAATGCCCTGAAAATCTTGCAACAGTCAGTTTCATGATATTCAAATTTTTAAAGAAAAAAATATGAATAACTCTCCTGGATTATCAAGGGGATTATATATAGTAAAAGTAATGCAAACATTGTTATTTTTAAAAAATGAAAACCTGTAATGGGCAGGTTCAGTGAGTAAATTTCTGCTTCAAAAGCACAAATGCCTAAGGTTGAATTCATAGTTCCAATGTAAAAGTAGGTAAACTGTTGTATGTTACCACAGTACTAGAGGGCAGAGGTATGGGACCTAGTGTTTTTATTGACATCTCGTCTAGACAAAAAAAGACTCATTGTCCCAAATAATAAGGTGGAAGGCTGCTGATGGCTCAGTGGGTAATGTAAGGGTGTTTGCTGTCCAGTCTGAAGACCTGAGTTCAGTTCTAATAACCTAAATGATGGAAGTAGAAAAATGACTCCCATAAGTTGTCATTTGACTTCCACCCACACACCTTAGTAGAAACAGAGCCACATAACACACACACACATACACACACACACACACACACATTCAAAAATCAAAACAGAGACTGAAGTAATAGGGAGAATTACAGATGAAAAATAGCTGGCATTTGTCTCCTGTTTTTTAAAACACATGCTCATCTGTGTGAGCATCCACATCCACAAACAAAGAGAAACATACCCCATAGAGACACACATATTCAAACACATGCACACACTCCTTCCTAAGGAGTATAACTAAGATTAATGAAGCAATATATGTGTGTGCATATATGTTTATAACTCTGTGTACATGATCTATCTCAATTGCCTAAGTCTGCTAAGTTGAATTTGCTCTCCATTACTGTGAGACCATGAAATTGTTTTGTTTACTTCCTCTTCAAGCCAGAAATCCTTGGATCTTAAGGTGTTTGTTAAGTGTAAGCATCCAATAAATGTTTTCTGAAGCAATAATGAAACTATAAATGAGTGAACTCATTTGCAAGATCTGAAAGAAAAAATTGTGTTATAAATGAATACAAATGTTGAGAATGTGTATGGTGTATTTAGTATTACCAGGACATATGAAAATTTTCCAATCCATAATGGGCAAGGTATTAAATCCAAAATACATGTGGAACCACAACTACTGAATGGTGAAAACTCCAGATCAAACAAAAAACTAGGCAAAAATCAAAAACAAAAAAATCAAAAAATGGACAAACCTCTTGATGAAAAAATGCTAAAGATCTTGAAGAAATATTTCTCCAAAGAAACGGACAGGCATAAAGAATGTTGGCACTAACACTCAGCCTCTAACATATGTACATCAAGACAGTAAAATATCATCTCTCCTTCTTAAAAATTGCAACCGTTGTTCTAACAAAATCATTTTTAAAGTATTTTTAAGTATTGAGCAAATTATAAAATGATGCTAAGTTTGATGAGAATAGAAAATAATGAATCTATGATGAAAAGCAATTTTGAAGTTCCTGAAAAAATAATCTGGAAGAAGAGCAACCAGATGGGTTAGCAGTCCTACTTCTGAGTAATTATCCAACATAACTGAGACAGAGATCTGCAGGAGGCTTTCTCTGGGTTGTCAACCACTTCCTAAATCACGACATAGATAGTTATTATTAGTTATGAATGCTTGGCCTTATCTTAGGCTTGTTCCTCTAGCTCTTATAACTTAATTTAACTTGATTCTCTTTATCTATGCTTTGCCTCAGGAATTGTAACCTATCTTTCATTCTGTATGTCCCATTTTGTTTCTGCTTCCTCTGTGGCTGGCTGGCTGGCCATTGCAGCTTAATTGACTAGCCCCCATCTCCCTCTCTCTCCCCCTTCTTCTCTTCTTTTCCTTTCATGTCTATATTCCTCCTTTTACTTATTCCCTCTGCCTGTGAGCCCCACCTATCTCTCTACTGCCTAGCTATCGGCTGTTCAGTTTTTTTTTATTAGAACAATCGGTTGCTTAAAACAGCAACAGATATGTTCATATTTAAGCAAATGAAGCATAAACAAAAGCAACATATCTTTGCATAGTTAAACAAATGGAGCTTAAATAAATGCAACACACCTTTGCAGATTTAAAGAAATATTCTGGAATATAAACAAATATAACACATCTTTACATAGTTAAAATAATATATGTAGAGGAATATTCTACAACAGAGACCCAGAAGATAGGTTTGCTCTGGTATCTTCATTGTGCAATCATGCATAATAGAGAAGATTTAGAAAGAAACCTAATTTCCATCAATGGGTGATCATATAAGGAAAAGATTGTTCAGTATCTACTAAAATATTATTCAGATTCAAGTTAAAAAATAAGTTGACCCTAAAAGATATGACATCATGAATGAACTCTAAAGATATTGTGTAAATGAAACAAGACTGTTGCAAAAGGATTAACATTATACAGTTTCACTCCCATGAAAACATAATCTTCACATTCACATAATTACAGAGGCAAATCGCCAAGGGAAGACAGAGGGGAAGATGGGAATTGCTTCAATAAGCATGAAGCTTCAGTTTTTCAACACAAATAAGCTCCACAGATCTGGAGAACAACATTGTATTTGTGTTTGTCTATATTTTCTACCAACCTTTAGTTTTTTGACAAGGTACATTTACGTGGTCAAGAACAATTGCAAAAAAATAACTGACCAATGCAATATATGAAAAATTATGTTCAATGGCAGTTAACAATATTGTAAATGAAGTTTGGGAATATATATTTGTAATATATTCATAAATATACATCTGTATTGTAATATCTATATATTTTGTAAAATTCTTCTAAGTATAATGAATTAAGCAAAACATGTAAAAATACTCTTAAAGAGAACAAGAAGTAAACATTAAATATTACCCCCATGAAATCTTTACAGAGAAGTACTTCCTGAAATGGGAAGCCTTTGCAAACTAGACAGGCTCAAATACCCCGAAACAGGTGAGGAGAAGATAATATTAGTCTCTATGGGCTTTTTTATATTCAATTTATACTCTATTAATAAGCACTTATTTTTCCAGAAAGTGAATACAGTAGATATCCTCATGGAAAGCCTAGCTTAACTATTTGGATGTGTTATAAGGAGATTTGGGATGGTACAAATCATTAGAGCAATAAAAACAAGAATTGTCATTTTCTTATACTTGGGATAGGACACTGAAGATACAACAGAATGGCAACCTGGTAAGACACTTAGCACAAATAATGTTTTACACTAATTTTAATCATGTCTTTTCAGCTTTTTGTAACAGTACCAAAAGCACTTTGGTGGAATTCTGGTACACCCAACATGTAAAAGGTTGTGAGACATGTGCTATTGATTGATTTCTTTGCCACTCTCTAGAACTTTCATGTTCTTACAACAAGTCAATGGGCCTTGTAAGGGAGAGTATGCTTCATAAGTTCCTCTCTCACCTCCTTTAGCATCCTGGTGCCAAGGTTCTCTTGTAACAGTATGTGTTTCATTCCTTCCCTCTGTCTCCATCTTCTTCATTTATCTTGATGTCAAGGTTCTCTGTTTCCAGTTCTTAGAATGCCCTTGGCTGATCCTTGCTCCTAGAAACAGAATTTTGTTTAGAGCAATGTTCTAGAACATTGTCTAGGTTTAGAATAATTTCTAAACAATTTTGTTTAGAACACCAAGATTCGTTAAAAGCAATGTCTAGAACACATTGTGTTCTAGAACACAATGATGTGTTCAAATACCTGTCCCCGGGATCCATTCTCATGAATGCTCCATAGTATTTCAATACTATGCGTGACCTCTGTCTCTCATTTGGGACTTCTTTCCTTAAACTATATTAGAAAACATATCTCAATTACATGTGGATTACAAATACTTTTAATGAACATCCTAAATTATATTAAAAATGTGTGAAACATTCTGAAAAATGAAGACAATTGGTCACACACCTCGCCCTATCTCTGCCCTCCAGATCACAGACAAGTAAAGTAGTACATACATTAATTCCCTATCCATATTTATTAAGTTCAAAATATAAACATCACATTGTTTTTTTCTGGCATCCAATTATCGTTGGAAGCTAATGAGAGAGTGATCTTCATGGTAAAGAGTTAAAACATAACAAGGTCTGATTTCCTTATATCCAACTTGACCCATTGACTGTTCCATGTTCTCTTCCTTTTGCAGTGCTAAGGAAATGCCCCTGGAACAGAGAGCACTGGTTTCCTCACTGACATGCCCACTTGCCCGAGTGCTCTGTCTGCAAATGCAGAGCTCAGGTCTACTGCTACAAGGTCCACTTTTAGAAATGTCTATTTTCTCCTTTCCTGGACACCCCACCAGGAACCAGTCTTCTATTAGTGTGCCAGACTTTGTGTCACAGGTATACAATGCATATTTCTTTCCTGGCACCTGTTTTGATTATTGTCTTTGATAGAAATATAACTACTGCGAGCCCTTTGCATGACCCTGGTATAAGCCCATGAGTAACCTCTGCTCATTCTTTCTATTCTGTTTTTTCCTACTTTATTTATAGCCCAACCACCAAGGTCATGTCTCAAAATACTCATTGCTCTGAGTTACTGAAATTATTTTTAATTGTTTCTCTGACTCATTGCACTATGCTGGAATCAATCAAGAATATTAATTGACAGAAATTGTAAAGATGGTTTAGTGGTTAAGATCAATTTTTCTTACAGAGGTTCAAGATTTGATTCCTGGCATCCATATGGTAATGCATGACCAGAATAACTCGATTTCCAGGGGATTCAATACATTTTCTGAACTCCACAGGCACCAGACCGGCATGCAGCACACAGATACACATGTCAGCAAAATACTCAAGCACATAGAACAGAAGAAAAAGCTCTGAAAAGAAAATACTGATGAGAGTTCTATTGATCCACTGCAAAGCTGATTAGCAATTTTCATATTTAATCTTTCCAAAAGCTCCTCTTCACACATTATTTCAGCCATTTTGGCCATTACTGATGCCTGTTAAAGAGTATGAAACTTTGGGGGGCTGAAGAGATGGCTCAGAGTTTAAGAGCATTGCCTGCTCTTCAAAAGGTCCTGAGTTCAATTCCCGGCAACCACATGGTGCCTCACAACCATCTGTAAGGTGGTCTGGTGCCCGCTTCTGGCCTGCAGGCATACACGTAGACAGAATATTGTATACACAATAAATAAATATTTTTAAAACAGCACTAATATCAGAATTATTTAAAAAAAAAGTAGTAAAAACTGTGTGAGTGTATCCTCCCAGACAGTTCTAGGATATGGAATCTCACAGCAAATTTCCTTTTCTTCTGAATCTTACAATCATTTCACTCCATCTTCTCCAGTGATCCCTGAGGCTTTCGTGTATGAACTAAATATAGAAGAGGTGAAAACTATGACACCAATTATATGCTAACATGGAAGGGGAAAAGCTTCAGGGGCCTCAACTCTAAACAAAGAAATATGGGCAATGGGAGATGCTGAAAGCAGTAGGAATCATCTTGTCCAAGAAAAATGTCCTCCAACTGATTGTTTCAGGGTGCTGAGCCCTAAGATCATTAACAAACATGTAACTTTAAACAGACTTAGTGTTTTGGATTTATGCATTCTTTTAAGAATATATATAAGCACACACACATACACACATATATACATACATATATATATTCATAGATGTATATGTATGCATGTGTGTATACATATACGTACATGTATGTATGAGACAACAATTGAAGAAAAAAGAGACCATAATTTTGAGAGGCAGCAAGAAAGTGCATGGAACAAATTAAAGGGAGAAAAATGAGAGGAGATTATATAATATACTTCTGAAATCTCTCTCTCTCTATATATATATATATATGTGTGTGTGTGTGTGTGTGTGTGTACATCTATATATACACATATACATGTTTGACATTTCCTATAGCTATCATATCCAAAAATATAGGAATGTTTGTGTGTTATGTCAAATACTCTCCATCTGATATATCAGCATCACATTGTCCCCTTAACATAACTGATATTTTCTTCAATATGGAAGAACAAAGTTCTCAAGAAGGGTTCACTGCATCTTCCAACAGCATTCTAACATTCCCACAATTTCACTGGCATGGGTACATTTTGATATTAGGACAGTTGATCTAAGTTTTCTCTGTGTGCTTGTTTCATTGGTTAGAGTGATCCTGGCAACACCTTCTACAAACTTTTCCTTTTTCCAACACTGAACTTGATGTTTAACAGAGAGGATAAAAAGGAATGTATTGGCTGCTTATTTAGAAGAAGAAAACAAACACGAGAAAAATAAACCGAAGCAAAACCAGATTACTCCAGGTAGTAAGGCAGAAGCTGTCTCATTAATCTCATACATTAGACAAGCATATATTTATCCTGATTGCCTCTAAGATTTACACAAATAAATATATTATGTTTTCTTTTCAAAACTATAAATACATTAGTTTTAGTAAATGAACAAAGGTGAAATTTTAACCTTTCCCAGTAAAATGTTATTTAGCATGTTAATGATAAACTAATATACTTAAGCGGTTAACATTCCATCAGTGTTAAACCTATCACTATAGAAACATACTCATTTTGAACTAGAAAAAAAATCATAAATAATTTTTCTATATGTTTCTCTGTAATGTTTAAATAGCAGTAACTTAAAAACAAAGTAATCAACCTGAAAGTGAGTGATATGTAATAAAACTCAGGCTAATGTCTATTTGTTACATACAGCAGTGTATGTAACTCAAGATTAAAATTAAAGAAATATCTAAAGCCAATAGGTTAAATTCTTATAGCTAATTTATCCTGCTAATTAAGTTTATTCTTCTAAACTGATACCAATTTAATGAAAATGAGACCTCTCTGAAATATTTGTCTCTATTACCTTGACATCTCATTAACAACCCCTGATCCCAAGCCCTCTGGTGAAATACTCCATTTGTAACATCCTTAATATTACCATGATTAGAGGATGGGGAGAGGAGAAAGGCCAGGGCACCAATTCTCCTTTTGTTTCTCCTGGTGTGAAGCAGATCATTCACCTTATGCTAGTTTCCATGATAAGAGAGCTACATCATGTAGTTTGCCTTTAGTTTGCATTTGCGAGAAGTAAAGACGTTCTCTCCATTCCATCATGAGAAGTGGTGTAGCCAGTGTTTGTCCTCAGAGCCAGATGTGAAATACACATGATGGGGAGGGCAAGGTGCCATTGGAATGGGAGGAGCAAGGAGAGATATCTGGTTAAATGTGTAAATGTGTAGTGGATGAGTGTTCACCCTTACAGGCGTCTATAAGGACTGGTGGTTGACTGGAGAGTTTATCTCCAGATGACTGATTAGGTAAAACTTCAAATGTTGTTTTACTCTCATCACACAGATGTCTTGCCAGATTTTCAGCATTTCCTTGTCCAGCAAGTAAAGGAGAAAATAATCACTTAATATTAATGAAAGTCATGCATTGTGGTGCTTGGTGATGCTGTGTCTGCTGTTGTATTTAAGATGACTTTGTGTATGATTGTGGTACAGGTCTGGTTTAAGCACACCTGTCTGTATGAACAAGCATGTCAGTGAGTACACAGTCAGAGGCAGAGGGAGACTGTCCACTCTATCACATTCCGGTGTATATGTTAGAGATAAGGTCTCTCACTGAACCTAGGACAAGACTGGAAGCCAACAAATCTCACGGATCTTCTACTCCTGTTTCACTGCTCTTTCAGGTGTGACTAAAATGTTTGCTCTTACTTATTTTCTATGTGGATGTTGAAGTGTGGACTCAAGTCCTCATGCTTGAACAGCAAGTACTTTTACCCATTGAGCTCTTGTCAGCCAGACTCTGGTTATATTGAATGAAAGATGATGCTTCCTCAAATTAAGACTTCTGTTTTCATTTGATTCTTTTCTCAGTTGTTTTTATTGAGCTATATGCTTTGCTTCTTTCCCCTCCCTTCCTCCCCACTCCCCTTCTGCCCTCTCTCATGATATCCAGTTTACTCAGGAGATCTTGTCTTTCTCTACTTCCCGTGTAGATTAGATTCATATATGTCTCTCTTAGGGTCCTCTTTGTTGTCTAGGTTCTCTAGGATTTTAAATTGTAGGCTCTTTTTTCTTTGTTTTATGTCTAAAAGCCACTTATGAGTGAATGCGTATTAAATTTGACTTTCTGGGACTGGATTGGATCACTCCGTATGATGTTTTCTAGATCCATCCATTTACCAGCAAATTCAAGATGTCATTTTTCAGAGCTGCATAGTACTACATTGTAAATATACCACATCTTCTTTATCCTTTCTTTGGTTGAGGGGAATGTAGACTGTTTCCAGGTTCTGGCTATGACAAATAATGCTGCAATGAACATAGTTGAGCACATGTCCTTGTAGTATGATTTAGCATCCTTTGTTTATATACACAAAAGTGGTATTAATGGGTCTTGAGGTAGGTTGTATCTTAATATTCTGAGAAATCACCATACTGATTTCCAAAGCAGCTGAACCAGCTTGCACTTCTACCTGCAATGGAGGAGTGTTCTTTTTACAACACAACCTC